CTGGCCGCAAACAGCATCTGGGCTTTTCTCCATCTCCATTGTAAGAGCACCGTGGAAGCAAGCAGTATTTCACCTTTCCCTACCCCAGGTATCTACGGTTAAAACCAGGAGCACACTTCCTCATCCTCTTCATTCTTCACCTTTTCCCCTCTCCCCCTCAAATGTAGTGACCTCAACAACCAACAAAGTACCTACACCATTTAGTTTCCAAACCCACCTGTCCCATCCCTCCTCCCTTGAGTCGAAAGAAACCCGCGACACACCGCCTCTTCCTCCATCTGCCACGTTCAAATTCCCGCTGCCCGCCGTAGGGTAGCCATAACATCCTTCAGAAGTCAAAATTTTTTTGCAGATCGTGTTTGGCTCCGGCCGAGCTGGGTTACTACGATTGCTTTTTCAGTCTGTGGGGTCGGTTCTTCTTTCCTTTAGATTGAGGGGGCAGTCCTTCTCTTGACATCGAATATTGTTCCGCGCTGCTTGCGTGAGAGGCCCAGCTGGTGGGAGAAGGTTTTCTTTTTTTTTTTTTAAATTCAGTAGTCGATGTCATTAATACGTACGGTGGGCAAAAACCACGTAGTTTAGTATGAATGGGTGGGAGAGTGATGTATGCATCACTGGCGTGTATTGTTTGGAGGCACACTCGATTGGGGGTGAAGGCATGCGTAGGTGGTTGCGAGATTTCTAGAGATTGGAGCAGGGATGAAGTGGAGCGGATGAGGTGGGCTTTGGTGCGATGCGAAGCGTATCAACGGTCCGCAGCTGCAGGAATTCTTGTGGGAACGATGAACGTGCACATCTGCGTTGTGGTGGTCAGTATTTTATACCAGTCAAGGAGCGCCGCTTGCATCAGTTTTTCGCCCGTTGAAATGGATGTATACCGGTAGCTTTTTTTTTTCATAACAGAAGTGCTGCTGCTTCACTTGTTCAGAGGTGATCAGTACGTTAATTTTGCTCCTGGAAGGCTTAGTGCAGTGGGTTTTTTTTTTTTTTTTTTTCAGGAAGAAAGTGAAAGCAATGTTCTACCACGCCTATAACGGCTATCTC